ATTACATTATTGCATGTTAAGAAGTTATAAATAATGCAACTGTTTTTAAATTATTCCATTATTTATAATAAAATATTGTTGCTATAGCAACTACAAATTATAATTAAAATGTACGTTTTCAAATTATATGTTTGAAAAGATAAATTATATGTTTATTAAAATAATCATTAACATAGACGATGGTGGTTTAGAGGCTTAACACATCGCTTTACCTTCCGATGGTCGCGGGTTTGATTCCCGTACAATACAAACATTTGTATTCATGTATAAACCTGTTTGTATTCGTTTGTGTGTTTTCTATGTTTAATATGTGTGTATTTACAAAAAAATATGTAAGTATATCTATTAGTAGGTGTTTATAGTACAACTTCTGCTTAGTTTGAGACAAGATGGTAGTATATTGATATGTTCAATGGTATTTATTTATAAGTAGGACTTACATAAGACCTATGTATGTCTGTTACTAATGAAACAACACAAACGTTAATTATATTAACACCTTCGGTCAGCGTAAAATTTGTCAAATATTCTTCATCAAAATTCCTACCACAAATAGATGATATTTTTATTATTCCAAGTAAGCAGCGGCATCACCCTATCACTCGTGCAGGGAGGCGGAGTCGCTATTAGCTTAACGACCATTTTAATATAAGAGATGACATATTAAATTTACGAGACTAGCTAGCTACCCGTAGCGTAAACGCCCATGCTGACGTGACGCCTCTGTCTTCTTTATTGCGTACGTAAATATAACTATTAGATGTGTTTATGATATGCTAAGGCGAATTTTTAATGGCCGGATTTGTTTACGAGTCACGTTTTGATTGTATGCATATCCTTTGGTTGTAATTTTAAATATTCTCTAAAGTGTAACGCTCACTCGAGGGTTAATCCAAACAATGTTTCTTCGTAGCATTGTTTACGAAAAATGTGAAACATGAGTTTACTGTTGCGTTGATCATTCTGCCCGACACGCAACAAAAAAAGGGTGGGAATAATAAGCGATTTGTTTCCCGTCCACGCGCGGTGGTAGGAAAGCTCGCTCCATGCACATCTCTCGTTTTCACACGGAAGCGAGGCGTAATTACTCTAAAACACTACCCATTTGTTTGATGTCTTTGTTCGTTGTTTGTACCACTTAGGGCGAGCATCACCCTTGTGATTTCGCCCGACGCACGCAGCACCTAGTCTTCTACTGCCATTAGGCGGTAGACAATAGAGCAAGACAAAAAACAAGCATTAACAATCAGAATATGCATCGACGATGGGTAGAGGGAAAGCTACAGCACAAGTAGGTATGTTCATTTAATTGTATAACTACCGTGAAAAAGCAGACACAAGCAGAATATTCATACATAGTTATTTATTCTTTTATGACCACATTACAAAAAAATCTCTTACAAAAGGCGAACTTAATGCATATAGGACTTTCTTCCAGTCAATCTTTTGCAAAACAGATATGCAATTGTGCGGTGAAAAAATTGTTATTATTCTATTATAATTTTTAGTGAATGATTCCTATCATAATAATATTGTAAATGTGATTGTTTAGGTATTTGTTATTCCTTAACAAGCTAAAAAGATTTAAATAAAGTTTGGTACACAAAAGGACCAAGTCATGGATTAAATATAGCGTGATTGGTAAATTGTAAATCGATATCGCATAAAAAGGCTTTATTTCATTAACTTTCAGTATACGATAGCCTATAAGTAATGTGTCATGAATTTTAATTTATTGATGCAATTACTGAAAAAGTGTTAAGCACTCAAATAGCTGTACGGATTGGAAGTAATACGTGAAAAAAATATTAATAAATGTGTTGGAATTCATCGTTTATCCTCGGTATGTGATCAAAATAAAATTTTGTCTTTAATAACGAATCAGTGAAAATATTATAAGTATTATAGGTATTATAATATTACTATAGTCAGATATAGCTGACAAACATTTTTTGATATCATTCAAGATAGAAAAATTCAATTTAAGATAATGAATGACATCATAAAATGACATCGTGATAAAATTAATATGGAATCAAAACAGTAACTGTTTGTGTGTGTCTATTGATTGTAAAAAAAAATATCAGAATGGTTTATAATTGTCAAAAATACCAGGTATAAAATACACGTAATGAAATTCAGACAAATTTAAAATACCTTCCTTTTTTAAATATTTTTTTTTCTTTTAATAAGTTTTATTTCAATATATAACTACTAATATTATAAAGAGGAAAGATTTGATTTTATGTATGCTCATGTGTTTGTTTCTAATGAATAAACTCAAAAAACTACTCAAAGGATTTTAAAAATTCTTTCATCTATAGAAAGATATATTTTATCAACGTGTTACATAGGCTATATAAACTCAGCCATTATCTGTCCTTTGATGAACATAGGCCTCCTCTATAGAATTTCCATAAGGTCCTTCCAATGGTTAGATTGTCTAATGTCTAGAAATTCTTATGAACATTACAATAATGTAACTCAAAGTATAAAAAAATTGCTTATTGAACTAATATAAAATAGTAATTTATCTATCTACCTGTGCAAAGGCGGGGCGGAACGCTAGTAAATTTTATATTGAAAATATCCAGACCATTACGAATATTGTGCAAAGATCGAATACGTAACTATTTACTCATAAAAATGTCAAACTTCTCATTAACCTACATTAACTATTAGAGTATTTTGTAGCTGTCTTTGGAATTGAGAAATTAGTGCAAAAAAAAAAGAACAAAACATTTCAATAGCTAAAATAGTTTTTTTTTGCGAGGTTTGACGTTTTTATGAATAAGGCACTTGGACTGCCGAAGTCGTCATTGTGTACTATTTCCATAGAAGCATCTTATGACATTCTACAGATGAGAGGTGGTGACACGTTGTATTCTTACTTCGTCACTATACGGAACTATGGTACATGATTGTCAATAGGCAAGGTTTATAGCACACGCACACACATGATTGTAATAGCCTTGAAAAGGATGAATGTATAGCGGGATGAATCGCATTATACAACACACGATGTACGCGATGAGAATATATTGTTATTATTTTTTGTTTAATTATATATTATTTTTTCTTTCAATGAAAAGTATGTGGTATTTTATATCATTATTAATATCGAATTTGACGCTACTCGTAAAAAAATTTTTATAAGTCGGTTTTAACACAATTTTTTCATTTTTTTTGTAGGATTTTTTAAACAGCCTCAAACAAATCTTATACTAATAATTACAAATACAACCAGAAAAGAATTAGCCAAATAGTAACAATCGTTCTGAAGTGATGCACTACATAAATTAATAGATACATATCATTAATAGATAATAACTTCTTTTTAACTGAATTTAAAAAGAAGGAAGTTTTCAATTCGATTGTATTTTTTAATGTTTCTTCCCGTAAACTGGTTTGGAAACTTCCTTTATTTATTTACAAGAAACATGGTAAGTGTATAGATGTTACAATAAGTATAAGTCCTCATCCTTTTTTTATTTGAAAGGTTGTACTTACAGAATGGTCCAATAGTTTAGTTTTTTTGTAAAATACAATTAAATTTATGTTTCTTCATTTTTAAAAATTTTCTGTATATAGGATGTTATAGATTTTTATTACCATCTTTTCAAGAGTAACGTTCTACTAGTAAAACTGAATATTTTTGCCAAAGAAACATGGAGGATTCTTCGATTGTAAAATTTAATATTCATATCCCCAAAAGACTCAAAGAGAATACACGTGGCAGGATGAGAACTAGATAAATTATTTTGTTTTCCTACTACTACTGATCGTTCGAGGGTGGTGTTGTTTTTTCCTGATTCAGCAGTTTAGTCTATAAAATGGGGACAAAGAAAAAATATTCTTAAATAACAATAAGTTGGCTCCATTCAGTATACACGTGTCGCTTGACGGCTAACCCCATCGGCGCGAGAAAAATCTAAACATAGTAAAAGCTGGTTTAGTGGCGTTTTATTGGCTCTGTTTGGACCGCAGCCAACTCTGTTTCTTCGCCTCTAATTGATATCTGACCTACGACGTTAGCGCTGAGATTGACTTGCATAATCAAGACTTCTCTGTAAATAATAGATACACAATTTTAAGATTTGTTTTACTTCCAAAAGAAAAAGCTTCTTAATTCGTCTGTATTTTTATACAATTTCTCAAAAAAAGAGGGTAATGTTTCATGTATGCGAGTTTCATAACTTCGAAATGCGTGAAGAGATTTTAATATATGGGATATTGTTGGAATTCATATATTACGCCAAGTGGCACTGGCTATAATTTTTTTAGAACCAGTTCATTTTGGCAGAGAAATCATGTTTTTTAATTTACAGTGCAAAATGTACTTGTTTGTGTATATATTATATTATGCGATTATGTCACCATTTCTGAATCGGTTATTATAATTAGTTTTGCAATTGACACTTGTCAGTCCCATGTTGGTCATAGATAAATTCTACTATATTAATTAAGCTACTGTTTCTCTTTGTGTAGCAAAAAACTTCTAGCTGAGATTAAAATACTTTTTAATATAATGTATCTTCGAAGTCGCTATTTTTTGCAGAACAAAATGTACTTATTCAGTATTCTGATTTGAAAATTGAATATATTTCGTTGTAGTAGCTGTGATTACAGGATTCTATTTTCTGCTTATTTCATTATCTGAATTTGAAGCTTCAAGTAAATGCTTTCAATTTGGATTAATTTTACCTAAGATATTTATACTCCTTAGATATCAAGAGTGTATTCATTATTTTTACTAATACAGATAAAGAGGTTCGTGATAATAAAATTAATGATACAATAAATTTACTATAGAATGATTTTATTTATGTAACAAATCCATCCCAAAATGTACGTAGTTTATTATTTCTATCTAATAAAAGTTTAGATATAAAATATAGCAAAACATAAATTGATAAAAAATCTAATGATGGTATAGTCAGACGATTAGATTTTCTTTAATATAGATAGATATAAAATAATTCGGAAAAAAGATTACTTACCATTTTGTTGTTGATTTCGTGAAAATGTATTTCGCACACTTTATCTACTATGTCTTCACTTTGAAATGTGACGAAACCGAAACCTGTAACAAATAGACAAAAGCAATGTTAATTAAATATTTTTATATGACATAATACGATTCAAGTGATTAAAAGTTAGGTGCATAGCAATATATATTTTAACATTTAGAAGGACGGAAATTAAATCAATATGTATATATTATTTAAATTGAAAATAGTACTAGTACATGTGACTACTAAAGTAATTGGTCGAATTTTGATGAACAAGATTTTGACCACCACTGGTTACTTAAATTGACGGACGGGAATGGAATCAATACGTGTATCAACGTGTATCCAATGGCATTTAAACTGATCCAACAGAAATTCAAACATGGTAGTATATTTAGGCTACCACTAATATACGCCTTTATTTACTGATATCACGTGATCTTTAAGAAAAAATAAACTACTATTTTAAAATTCTTATTTTATATTAATATTTATATATTATAAAGAGGAAAGATTTCATTGTTTGTTTATAATGAATAAACTCAAAACTACTGATTTTAAAAATTAATTCACTTAGAGAAAGTTACATTAGCAGCTAGTAATATAGGCTATACCTATATAATTTTCGAAAATTCTATTTACCCGTGAGAAGCCGGGTCGGATCACTTGTAATAAATATAAATAACGGATTTCAATGTCGATAAAATAAGTAACATGAAATTAAATCGTTTTGAATTGAAAAAACAATATTTAAAATTGGCTTAAATTATAAAAATGTATGTAACATAATAAAGAAATTTTACTCTGTATTTTCTGGCATAGAATAGACCACCCCTTCCTTTTCCGTGGGCGTGATAAGAGACGACTAAGGCAGGGCGAGGGATGGTCAGAAGCGCCCCTCTAAAAACATCTTCAAAGCCTAACTGCGGTTGCCAATCCGCCTGCCAAGCGTGGCAACTACTGGCAAAATCCCTCCAAGGGTGAGGTTTATGTTTAGCAGTGGACAGTAAAGGTTGATATGATGATGATGATGATGATAATAAAGAAATACAATGGAACTGGGGATATTTTTTTCTGTAATCAGTCGAAAACAGAAACATCTTTAGCTTCTTCAGAAATTCAAAAAGTCATGATATTTACAATTACAGCACGAAATATTTCCAAAGTAGCCAAACTAGTGAAAGTTATAATTTCGGTAGTTGCGTTACTTTTGATCTATCTAAGCAAAGTTTTGAAATATACTCCGCTCCAAGTTGGATGAAAAGTCTCATCTTTGTTTGATATCTATTTAATTAAGACTAGTTTGTGTAGAGTTAATTTCAAAAGGCACGTCAATCAGTTTTTGACAGCACCATAAAGCGGGTTTTGTATTACATTTTTTTTTTTTTTTATATATACCACTGAGGTGGCAAACAAGCATACGGCCCACCTGATGGTAAGCGGTTCCGTAGCCTATGAACGCCTGCAATACCAGAGTTTTTACGCGCGCGTTGCCGACCCTGAAGAAACCTCTTTACCCCCGTCATTTTAAAGAACCCCATGCTGTAGTCTCTCAGAAAACCTCGGCAGGGAGCTCATTCCATAACCTAGTGTTCGTGGGAGAAAGCATCTCTGAAACCGCGTTGTACGCGACCATTTAGGCTGTAAGGTATGAGGGTGAACTCCCTGCCGATGGCGAGCCGTACGATGATAGAAAGTGGCCGTAGGCATCATATTGAATAATTCCTCTGAGCACAATCCGTTGTATAACGCACGCAGAGTGAGGCAAAATCTCTCCTAAGACTTAAGGGTTCATAAAGCATGGGATCATCGACAATTCTCATAGCTCGTCGTTGTACTGAGTCGAAGAATTCAAGCTGGTGTCTAGGTGCTCCCGCTCATAAGTGACAGCAATACTCCATATGGGGCCGGATTTGCGATTTGTAAAGCATTAATCGCTGATCCGGCGTGAAGTAATGCTTCGCTCTATTGAGCACACCGAGATTTTTGGATGCCAGCTTCACCTTATCTTCGAGGTGGCCACGGAACTGTACGTCACTAGAGATGTCGACACCAAGGATCCCAATGCTTTTAGAGATGTTAAGAGACGTGCCTTGGAACTGTGGGGCCACAGCAAATGGGTTTTTTTTAGCGGTGAACGCGCAAGCTTGTGTCTTAGAGGGGTTAAATTGGACCAAGTTTTGTCTCCAGTTAGTGTTCTCTCGATTTCAGACACAAGCTGTTCACGATTGTTCTCCACGATGGAACAAGACATTGGTACGACCCGTATAAAGGGCATCCCCGGTGCTATCATCCGCATAACAATGAATGCTACCGAAGGTTAACATATCATTAATATGCAGTAGAAACAGCGTTGGGGACAGCACAACGCCAGCGTTAATATCCATGCTATCGGAGCAGCAACCATCTACAACGGTTTTTATACGTCTGCCGGATAAAAAACTGGCGACCCATTTACAGAGGCTGTCGGGAAGTCCATAGTAGGGCAATTTCGATAGAAGAACCCGATGCCAAGACCCGGTCAAATGCCTTTGCAATATCAAGACCGACAGCGAGCGCCTCATTGACTCTCAATGGCTGATGCCCATCGGTGCGTAAGATATACCAAGAGGTCACCAGTTGAGCGACTATGGCGAAAGCCATATTGGCGGTCACTCAATAAATCGTGATCCTCTAGGTATTTTAACAGTTGTGCGTTAACTATACGCTCCATCACCTTAGAGAGAAGGGAAGCGATCGCAATCGGTCTGTAATTTGAAGGGTCCGACTTATCGCCCTTTTTAGGTACAGGATGTACAAGGGTGGTCTTCCATGTCGAAGGAAATTGCCCTGTGGAGTACGAGATCGTGAAGAGACGCGTTAATACAGGACACAATTCCGGAGCACACTGCTTTAGGACCACTGCCGGTATACCGTCTGGCCCACTCGACTTATGAACATCTAAGGATAGTAACTCCCGCCGGACTTTACATTGTGTTATAGTAATTTCCGGCATGGAGCTTCCGCAACACAAGATTGTAGGTGGTACAGAATTACCTTAGTCCATAGTCGAGTTAGAGGCAAAGAGAATGCCAAATAAGTCGGCTCTTCTCTTTAGCACTGTAGGCCAAGTTACCATTCGGTTTCCGAAGTGGTGGAAAAGACGATTGACAAATGTTTCCTTGGGCGGCTTTGGTAAGCGACCAGAAAGCACGATTATCAGAAGGAAGGCTTGATAGTCGCCTACCAATTCTCCCACAAATTCAAATTTGGCTCTGGCAATTACTCTCTTACTGGACCTCGAAGCAGCATTTAATTTGCGCTTTGCATCACTGATTCCAGGATCAGAGTTAGTGCGAGCAGTAGTCCAAGCCTTGTATGCAGCTTGCTGAGCATAATCTGGCTTTCTTACAAAACCGGTTAAACCACGGACGTTCTTCGATCCCATTGCCACTAGCGGGTTGGGGATAAATAGCTTATACCTTCAATGATAGCCTCGCTAACGGGACTTGCGCAGTCGTTAGGATCATGTGATTCAAAAAAGAGCTACTTCCACGGGTACGATGCATAAAATTCTCGCAATCCATCCCAGTCTGCTGAACATCGTCGTCCAATAGGACGGGGTGGATCAAAAATGACATCAGCCCGGATAAGACAATGGTCGGATGAGCCAATTGGCGCATCCACTCTGACGGTATATCCATCCGGGTGTGTTGTCAGCAGAATAAAGCAAAAAATTTGTATGGTTCTCTATATCTGGAATTTTCGTTGGAGAATGGACCAGCTGAGAGAATCCATAGGTCAGAGCAAATTCATGAGTAGCTTTTCCCGCGCAGTCAGTGGACCGAGAACGAAGCCACTCGGAGTGGTGAGCATTAAAGTCTCCATATCACTAACTCCGCAGAAGGGTACTGCTCGAGAATATATATCGTCATTTGCAGGTGCTCAAAAAGACGGATATATGTCCAGATCACCGCTGTGAGACCTGTAAAGGCACGCGTAAATACGAGTGTGGCTCTTAATCCACACGTATCCATAATACTGACAAGCGGTCTCTGTCTTCAAGGCCATGGAGACGGCGGTAACAGACATCCGTCCGGATATACATACAAACCCCGGCATGACGAGCAAATTTATGCTCGAGTTTGTAACATTATAGTAAATATAGATGTATCAGCCGGACATGATATCTGCGTCTCGGTGAGGAATAACAGAGTCGGCTCCGCAGTTTCGAGATGATAGTGAATTGCGTTGATGTTAGAATAATTCCTCTGATATTGCAGAAGTCCACAATTTAAATGTGGATGAGGGTGCCGCTGTGTAACGTCTATTTTTTCTAGATCTGGCCATAAAGTATTAGGGTATTTGGAGGTTAATAGGGTAAGATTGTGCCGATATCAAAGGAACAAAGTGGTGTCCACTTCCGTCCCTGCGCTAAACAGGTTGTGCAAATTGCCGACGCGGCGGTCGGAAGGGCCCCGGTCCCCCCAAATGTAGTAGCCGGGTCCACTCCGGTCTCCTCCTCCGGCACGACTACCACACCAGGGATTATGCACAGGCGGCGGTTCAAGGGCTATATGAGATTAGGTAATCCCTGGGTTCGGGAACCCAACAACCTGCGGGCGGCCAGCGAGCAACCGTTTCACCGGGTCTCCCTGAACGCCGCGTCAGCACTTCGCGTCTGCCCAGCACAAAGATAGTATTAAGACACGCTGGTCCCTCCGATATCAGCACAACCCCTCCCCAAGTTTGGATATATACTCCAGGAACACAACGTTGGATGAAAACAGCGTTGTTTTGTTTGATTAAGACTAGTTTGTGTAGAGTTAATTTCAAAAGGCACGTCAATCAGTTTTTGACAGCACCATAAAGCGGGTTTTGTATTACATTTACTAGCATAACTTATAGAGCAGATGAAATTTAAGGCTTATAATAATAAATATTTTTGGTGAATTAAACATTCCTTTTTGCTTATAAGTTTGAAATTATGCATAAATTCCTATTTAGATTGTTAAAAATGATTTCATATGATGACGTGATACGTCACATTAGAGGTTGGCGTCTCACTATAATGTCTGCCACAAATAAATTC